ACGGACAATGTTGTTGCGTGCCTTTGCCATGCTGCTGGAGCGCGCCTGCTGTCTGCAGGTAGATCAGCCGTCATGCAGAGGAGCGAGGGACAGGATAGTGGAAGTCTTGCTGGAAAAAGAGCTGCCCCCGACGGGGTCGTGGAAGGGGCCCCCACCCCGACGTCTGGCGGTCTTCGTTGGAGGGATGGGGTCACTTTCACGCATGACCCTGTTGCTCGCCAGCACTGTCTCGAGAAATGCTGGGGAGGGGAAGCCGCCTGGGGCATGGTGTCGGGACCCATCCCTGGCCCAAGTGCCGTTCCGTCAGGACCGCCTTTGCCTGGCGTGGCAGCAGGGCGCTCCGAAGGGGACTAGCTGGCACCCCCCTATGGTGGTGTCGCCCTGACCTTCCCCCCCCGTGCACGAACTCGTTTTGCATGCCTTTCGCCTTCACACCTCTGGCACGGGCTCAATCTTTTAAGCCACAAGGAGCGAGCGAGCGAGCGAGCGAGCGAGCGAGCGAGGAGGAGGAGGAAGAGGAGGAAGAAGGAGGGAGGAGGAGGGAGGAGGAGGAGGAGGAGGAGGAGGAGGAGGAGGAGGAGAAGGAGGAGGAGGAGGAGGAGGAGGAGGAGGAGGGGGGGGGGGAGGGGGGGGAGGAGGCAGGAGGGGGGATGAGGAGAGAGGAGGGAGGAGGAGGAGGAGGAGGAGGAGGAGGAGGAGGAGGAGGAGCCCCACGTGCCTCTCGAGGGGCCCAGGGACACAGACTCCCAGGAGGAACCAGGAGGCCCCCAAGGAGGCCCCCCCCAAGGCCCCCCCCAAGAGCCCCCCGAGAGGCCCCGAAGAGGCCCCCAGGAGGTCCCGACCCTCCCAGCGCCGATTGGACTGGCAGGGGTGGGGTTCGCATCCGGTAGGGTCGCATCCGTTCGTGTTTACGGCGCTTCTTCTTCTTCTTCGAAGAAGAAGGAGGAAGAAGAGCGTACGCCTCAGCCTATTTCTTGACTACTCTTGAAATATTCCTCCTGTAGAGGGGCATGCCCGACTTACAGTGGGGGCCCGACCACGAGACACTTCCCGCAAAGACCCAACCCCGAGACCCCAGGATGTCCATGGATTGTTGGTGTGGGAGCGTCGCGCTTTCCGTAGCGAAAACATCGAAACCCACGAAACCAAGGGCACCCTGGTGAGCGTTGGTTTTTTATGAGGCGCTTCGACATGGGGCAGAAGAGGGGGGAGAGGGGGGGTCCGGCTCCGGACCTCTGCTCAGTGCGACTGTTTGCAGCAGTGCGTCCTATGGGGGAGGCTCCACCTGCTCGAACCAGGCGCCCAAAAAAACAAACAAGATCCACTCACGGGTTAGGTCGGGCATGTCCCCCTACAGGTGGACTTTAGGCGAAAAATCAAAAATAGTCAAAAACATATTCGAACAATACTGAAAATAGTAGACAAATCGTCCCCAGACTACGTTTTGACTATTTGGGAATATTCCTCCTGTAGAGGAACAGGCCCGACTTCACTCCAGGGGGGGAGCGGCGGGGGGTTCGAGGGCCCGCGCGGATCGGCAAAACAAGGAATCAGAAAACGATCACCATCCGGTCGGAGAAAACAGAGAATGAGAAAACGCTTTGCGTGGCGGAACCATCAGAACCCAAGAAACAGAGGACACCCTGGAGGCAAGCAGGGTGTTTCATGGCATGGGTCTCCACTGTAGGGTTCGCTCCGGGTCGGAGAAAAAGTAACCTCTGGCGCGCGCGGCCCACGAGGCCCGAAGAGAGGCCCCCCAGAGGCCCCGAAAGAGGCCCCCCCCGAGGGCCCCCTGGGAGGCCCCAAGAGGCCTCACCCGCGGACCCCATCCCTCCCCGGGGGTTCGGCAGAAGTTCAACAGAAGTTCAACGGGCGAAGAAGGGTACAACAGAAACTTTTTCGCTGTCGGGGGAGCCTGTCCCAGGGCGGCTGGAAGGTTCATACCCCTACGGTGGCAACGAGAGGGCCCCCTGGGAGGCCCCAAGAGGCCTCACCCGCGAACCTCATCCCACCCCGGAGGGTCGGCAGAGTTAGAAACAGAAAAAAACACCATAAAAAACACACAAACTTTTGGCGCTCCGCGCGGGTTTCTTGGATCTGCGCCGGAGAGGCCCCCAAGAGGCACCGAGAGAGGCCCACCCAGAGAGCCTCCCGGGAGGCACCGAGAGAGGCCCCCCCAGAGGACCCCCGAAAGGTCCCCCTGGAAGGCCTCACTGGGGGTTCGGCAAAATTTCAACGGGCAAAGGATGGTACAATCATCGGCCTGAGCTGAGTAAGGAACGAAACATCAGGAACGGAGCCTCTTATTCTTCAAAAGGAATAGCGCATATGGAGCGATAAAACATAGATAACGCACAAGGAACGATCGATAACGCATGCAGGCCTAAGAAACGACCGAGCCCGTTTTGAAAAGTATGTGCTCCTTATTCAAGCCGCTCGCTGTATAACATAAACTGTTCCGCTGTCGAGGGCGCCTGTCCCAGGGCGGCTGGAAAGTTTATACCCTACAGTGGTAACGTGGGGGTGCATACTTTCCAGCCACCCAGGCAGGCGTCCCCGACGGCGGAAAAGTTTCTGTTGTACCGCTCTTCGCCCGCTGAGAATTAGAAGAAGAAGCACCGCCATAAACATACTTTTGGCGCTCCGCGCAGATTTCTTGGATCTGCGCTGGACCGCCCTCCCTGGCGCGCGGAGCGCGCCAGGAGCGGCACCAGAGGCGCCGCCCGGGGAGCCCGCACGGATCCAAGAAATCCGCGCGGAGCGCCAGAAGTTCATGTTTATGGCGCTTCCTCTTCTTCGGAGAAGAAGAAAAAGAATAGCGTACGCCTCAGACTATTTCTTGACTACTCTTGAACATTCCTCCTGTTCAGGGGCATGCCCGACTTACAGTGGGGGCCCGACCACAAGACACTTCCGCAAGAAGCCCAACCCCGAGACCCCAGGACGTCCATGGATTTTTGGTGTGGAAGCGCCACGCTTTCCATAGCAAAAACATCGAAACCCAGGAAACTCAGGGCACCCTGGTGAGCATTTTATTATTCGACATTTCGACATTGGGCAGAAAGACAGGGGGGGGGAGGGGGTCTGGCTCCAGACCTCTGCTTAGTGCGGCTGTTAGGAGCCGTGCGTCCCCTGGTGGAGACTCCACCTGCTTGAAACAGGCGCCAAGGACACCCAAGGTCCACTCCACGGGGGGGGGCAGGAGGGGGAGGTGCGAGTGCCCGCGCCGATCGGCAAAACAATGAATAACAAAAACGACCACCGTAGTCAAGCAGGGTGTTTGGAGGCATGGGCCCCCGCTGTCACGTAGGCCTCTGGTGCGCGGCTGGCGGGACATCGCGGGCGATGCGACGGTGGCGGCCCGTGGCTGCGCGGTTTCCCCTGGGGTCGTAGGCGACCCCAAGAGACCCCGGAACACCCAAAAAACCAAAAGAGAGAGCCCAATTATAGCATACAGTCGGGGCGTTGACCTAAGGAACCCTAAAGAAGGAACGAGGCCCCTTTTTCCATCAGATAAACTTCGATTTCCCATGGCAAACCTCAGGAAGACCTGAGGCAAACTGTTCAACAATCAAGGGACACCGAGCCCCTCCCCGACGGAAAGGGGTCCTTCTTCGGCGCCCCGCCTGTCTTCCTAAGACTTCCATGGGCCTTGCGCAGATGTTCGCGCCGGGGCGCCGCAAACGGGGGTTCAGCTCAACGGGGGCTCAGGCTTCTCCCATCTACCCCCACTTGCTGTACCCCCGCTGGCGGCGCCCAGGGCCCCCTGAACGGGGGGCAGAGCCACACGCGGAAATCGGCGTGCCCCGCACCCCCCGCTGGCTGTGCCCCCGCCTCTGCAGAGGCCTCCTAGATGGGGTCTGAGTAGATGTGGTCGGAGGATCGCGCTGCACCGGCGATGCATCGGCCATGCATCGGCGATGCATCGGCCATGCATCGGCCATGCACTGGCGACGTCGGCGATGCATCGGCGACGTCAGTGTGGGGGGAAACACGGGCTCCACATCGGGCTGACCCCATCTAGGAGGCCTACACCCTGCGAAATGCTTAAGAAATCATGGGTTAAGAAATTCATAGTCTCAGAATTTGAATAAAACCCAGAACTTCTATCAAAATCTTGGGATTTATATTGAAAAGTTAAGAATAATCGAGATTCTGGACGAAAACTGAGGTTTTCTTAAGCATCGCCTAAGGTGTAGACTCTGGCGCCCTGATCGCGCCCTCGCCCCTCCCGACAGGGGGCCGCGACGGGCCGCCGAGGCCCTCCGGGGAAGCCGCCCGCGGCCGTGGCCCCCTCGCGCCCCCCCCCCCCCGAGCGCCGCAGACAACACAAGGTCGCTCCGGCGAAGGGCCCCGCTCGCGGGAGCCGGCGGTGGACACGCCTCCCTTTCGCAAACCACCATCTGTCGGGGAGACGTAAGACTCGGGTACGGGGGACTCGGGTTGGCCCGACGGGGCCATCATAAAAATGACGAGGCCCAATCTGGAATTTGACGCGAGCTCCCGCTGCAGACATCCCACGAAAACCGGACCGTCAAAATCCAGGACACGCTCGTCAAAAAAACGTCGGCAAACCCGAGTTCCGGCTTACTCGGGTCTTGCGTTCCCCCGAATCTGGTGGAAGCGGCCCAGGAAAAGGTCGGGCGTGGATCTCGAGGCGAGTCCAGCTGTGGCGACGAGGGCCTCCCAGGAGGCCCAAAAAAAGAGGACAGCGGGCGAAGGGTAATTAGCGGTCTGGGCACCAGTTTCTCGTCCGAGACTCACGTGCCATCGATGCTCGGGAGCGGCCAAGAGGGGGGTGTCCAAGAGGGGGGGGTGCAAATCATGACCGGCGGCATGTGCGCGGCCCAGCGGGGGGGCCAGGGACGTAATGAAATAAGAAGAGGCGCCATAAAATCTGGGGAAATATCATGGCCCACGCCATGATATCCACCCCCCCCTAGTCATCACCCCCCTCTTTTCCGCCCCCGAGATGCTCTTCTGCTTCCCGTCATCGGCTCCTTCTCCCAGTCCCTGCCGTGCTTCCGCCGGTATGCCGCCTGGCGCGGGGCCAGGGGCAGAGAACCTCCTGAGGCCCCCGTGGACGGAGGGCCGAGTTGCTACGGGGGGCCCATCGAGGATCTGTCGGCGATGTGCCAGTCCCCCCTATCTAGGGGGAGAACAAACCTACCTCGCTTTTGACCACCCTCGCTTCCAAGAGATACCAAACGATGCCAAATTGCGGCCTGTACTGGTCAGGCCGCTTGACGAGGAGGCGCGTGGTATGACTTGGTTTTGCCTGGAAGCGAAAGCGGGGGAGGTAACTCGCGCTCCGACTATCGTTGCCCCTCGAAGACGGGGACGCCAGACATTCCTGCACAGTGTGACAGATGCCGGCGAATGAGATGGAGGAGCCCGCAAAGGTAATGGGCAATTGGCCTGGCAAGGAGTGGACAGTCCTCTCTCGAGTGCACGGCCGAGGGGAAGGGGGGGGGGCTTCTTCGATCGGGGGCTGCCCCTGGCCCAAGGTGCCCCCAACTCTCCGCTCAATGTTGGAGCCTCTGGAGCCCTCTGGGACTCGTGAGGGCCCCCGATCGGGAGAGGATGAGTCCAGGCAGAGTAAGCCCAGATGGAGGCCAAGCACTTCGTGCGGAATTACTCGGCATGGGCCTCGCAATTCTATCGGGATAGGCGAAGCCCAAACGCCGCAAACCCAAACGGAGACCAAGCATTCCGTGTGGACTTCCTCTGCATGGACTTCGCATGTGAGCGTTTTTTTTATGCGGCGTTTCGACATTGGGCGGAAGGGAGGGGGGGGGGGGTCTGGCTCCAGACCTCTGCTTAGTGCGACTGTTTGGACCCGTGCGTCCTATGGGGTAGGGGCTCCACCTGCTCGAAACAGGCGCCAAAAACAGCCAAGATCTGCTCCTCCTCCTCCTCCTCCTCCTCCTCCTCCTCCTCCTCCTCCTCCTCCTCCTCCTCCATAGGGGGAGGGGGAGGGAGGGGGGGGGCGCGCCGATCGGCAAAACGAGGAAGAAAAAACGATCACTATCCGACCGGGGGAGGCCAAGTCCAGAACGCCCGTGCACACCGCACTGCCTGCGTGCACCACAGCTGCACGCCCGCGTGCACCACAGACCCTCCAGGCTGCCCGGGATCGCGCGCGGGATCGGGGCTGGGGCGTTACGGCTACGGGGGGGAGGGGGGAGGAGGGGGGGAGGATAACATGCGTGATCCCCTGGGCGGATAAAAGAATTGTCTCTACGTCCATACAGAGACCGAACACTCCGTACAATGTGTTGCATCTTCGGGGGACCTGATCTGCCCCTTCGCGCCGCGATCCACGTCGAACCGTGTCGAATCCTTGTCGAGCGCGTCGAATCCGCGTCGAAGCCGTGTCGAAGCCGTGTCGAAGCCGTGTCGAATCCGCGTCGAATCCGCGCCGAGCCCACGTCGGAGTACAGGAGAAGACTGCACTCTGCAGGACAGGAGCGGCCCCCCGAAGGTGCAAAAGTAACGTGTGGACCTCGGGGATGGACAGACCTCCCTTTAGTAAAACGTGGTTTAGTGAAAACGACCTGAGGCCCAAAACCTGGCGGGCGCAAGCCTGGAAAATAACGGCCGCGGCGCCCTCTCGAGAACCGAAAACGGACAATTCACTAATCGACGTGTCACTGTTGGGGGTGCTGTCCCCCCCCGACCACTCCGCGCGAACTCTCGGCACCCTCCGACCCGAGAGCCCGCCCCTCGGACGAGCTCCCACCCAGGGCGCGTCCGGGCCGCCGCGCGGCCCTCGGCCCCCAGGAGGGGCGCCCGGGAGTCAGGTCGGGCACGTCCTCCTACAGGGCGATGTTGGAGGACTGTTTGTTTTGAGGCTCCAAAAATACTCAAAGGGAATCGAAAATGGTCGAACAATCGTCCCCGTACTATACTATTTGTTTGACTGCTTTGGGATATTCCCCCTGTAGAGGGACAGGCCCGACGTAACCCAAGAGTGTTCCTGGAGACCGGCCGAGAGAGCTCCAGGAGGCTAATGCAGGTCGTCCGACTCCCCGGAGGAATACGTGCGGCAGGTTGTTCAGACTTGAACGATCGGCCCTCTCAATAAGGCCGGATCGTTGAAGGATGTGCCGATTCTGGGCCACAGGCGGCGTTCAACCTTAAACGCCCGCACTAGGGTCGCCGCCGGTCGACACGACGCGAACCTGCCGTATATCCTAAGCGTGCTCGCCTTCTTTGTCTTGACGGCGTCCAGCAAGGCCTTCGAAGGGCCCCGAGTCACCGAGCATGCCCCCCCAGAAGCCTCCAGGAGGGCGCCGAGTGCGCCCCAGAAGGAGAAGGAGGAGGAAGGAGGTGGACGACGACGGCGAGGAAGAGTAGCAGGTAATATGAGGAGGAGGAGGACGAGGAGGAGGAAACGGAGGAGGAAACGGAGACGGAGGAGGAAGGGGAAGAGGAGGAGAAAGAGGGAAAGGAATATGAGAAGGAGCAGGAGGAAGAGAAAATGAAAGGTGGAAGCGGTGGAAGAGGAGGAGGAGGAGGAGGAGAAATAAAGGCGGAAGGGGAGCGAGAGGGGAACGGGAGGAGAAGAGGCGGAGCCTAAAGGAGAAGGGAGCGTGCGGGCGCAGGGCTCACGCGCTCCACACGTGCAGTCCACGAAGCGAGGGGACTCCACAGGATGGTTCGGCTTTGGGGCTGGCTGGTGGCAAAGAGCCAGCCTTGTAGATATACACACACATCTCTGTATATATATACACACCTATAGACACTTGCTCCTCCTCCTCCTCCTCCTCCTCCTCCTCCTCCTCCTCCTCCTCCTCCTCCCTTTCCTTCTGCTCCCTGACTGCCGCTCTCTGCCTGTCCCCGTTCTCGCCCGCCCGCCCGCCCGCCTCGTCCCGCCGGCCCTGGCCTCCCGCCTGCGCGCTCGTCGTCGCCCGCCTGCTTTTAGGTCGGGCACGTCCCCCTACAGGCGGTTTTCGGGCGAAAAACAAAAAAGTACCCCCCAAATGTTCAAACATGCTATAACCGGAAGATAAAGCGAGACATCGTTCCCACACTATTTTTTTAACTATTTTTGAACATTTCTGCTGTAGAGAGACACGCCCGACTTAAGCCTGATTCTCCCCTCCTTCCTGGGAGGCCAAAAGGTACCGACACCGCTGCTCCACGAACCCCTCACGGGGCGCGCCCTGAACAGCATGTCGAGGCGAATCCAGCGGTGGCGACGAGGGCCTCCCAGGAGGCCCAAGAGGCGGAGGACGAGGCGAGGGCAGCGGCATGGCTACCTTTGCCTCCTCCGATGCTCTCTCCCTCCCGCTCCGGGCAGCACAGCCTACCGGTGCTTCTCCGACTCGAGTTGGCTTTGGGCGTCCTAGTTATCCGGGGTAACTCGGGCCCGGGGTAACTCGGGCTTGGATCCCCGAAAAAACTAACCCGAATTAGCCCTGACCCGAGTTACCCCTGATGATTTGGGGCTCTGGATGCCCGAATTATCCGGGGTAACTCGTCCTCCTCGTCCTGGTCCTACTTTTCCTCGTTCTCGTCCTCCCGATCCTACTTCTCCTCCTACTCCTCCTTCTCACCAACCTCCACCTCCTTCCCGTCACCCGCGCTTTGGAAACACGCGCCTGAAATTGGCTCATCCGCTTTGGGGGCCATCTTCTGACCACGGTCTTCTGGTTGAAAGCCTCGGCGAAGTGGTGCAGGTCAATGTCGGGATGCATCCAGCCCAGAGCTAAGACGTACCTGTGACCTGGGCCGTTGACCACCTCGTGCACCCACCCGTCGTTGAACGCGAAGGCCTTCGAATCGCTCCAGTTCAGCACCACTGTCTCGCCTACGTCCGTGAAGACGTTGATGCTGGACCCCTCGAACCCCTCCACACCGATGTGGACGTTTATGCTCGGCGGCGAACGAGGGGGGAAGTGAGAAGGAGAAGGCCTTCGCAAAGGCGGCGGGACTTCTCAGAAACCCTCGCGACTTCTGAGACGTCTTCTGTGTTTTCGGGGAAGGCTCAGAATACGTCTCAGAAAGTCGGGGGACTTCCGAGACGTCTGAGAAGACCCGCCCCTTCTCGCTTCCTGAGGGGCAACGATCTGGGGGGATCAGCATGGGGGGGGGGGGGGGGAAACAACGACGGGGAAACGGCGATACATCGCTGATAGAACGGCGATAGGCCCCCGGCAGTGACTCCGCAAGTTCCTGGGCAGGGTGGGGCCATCGGGCCCCTGTCGGCGATCCATGGGGGATTGGGGGTCGATGCGCCCCCCCCCCTATGCCTATCCACCCCTATCGTTGCCCCTGACTCCCCCCCCGCCCCCCCAGGCTGGCCGCCGACACAGCAGGGGCCCGACCACAAGAAACCCTCCACAGGAAACCCAACCCTGAAAACCGGGGACGCCCATCGCTGTTTCGTGTGGGGACGTCACGCTCTCCACAGCAAGACCATCGAACACCAAGAAACCCAGGGCACCCTGAAGGCATGCAGGGTGTTTCTTGGCATGGGCCTCCACTGCATGCGCCCGTTCTGCCCGCCGTTGTGCGGCAGGACGGTGGAGTTCGGGCTCCCGTAGAAGACTGGGCAGCGCCCCAGGGGGGTCGCCACCAGGGGGGCCGCCACCTCCTCCAGGAAACGGGACCGGCTGGACCCCCCTCCTCCTCCTGCTCCTCCTCCTCCTCCTCCTCCTCCTCCTCCTAGTCCTCCTCCTCCTCCTCCTCCTCCTCCTCTCCTCCTCCTCCTCCTCCTTATCCTCCTCCTCCTCCTCCTCCTCCTCCTCCTCCTCTCCTCTGAGACGGATGTTTTCTCAAGCGCTAGACCTGGTTCAGGTGGAACCGTCGACCCTGCGAGGCTCAACGCCTGATCCGAAAGGCTGCGCAGAAAAGAGGGTACGAACTGCTCCCTGCCTGCTGCTACCCTCCCTCGCGGCGCTGTGCTCAAGACGGCCTGAGAGAACTGCGTGTTTTTGAAGCCGGATCCAGCTTAAATGAAGGGCCCCGGGGACACACAAATAAATACACACAAATCCCAAGATTCCCCCACATGTTCCAAGATTTCCTGGGTTTCTGTCCCCCCCCCCCCCCCTCCCATATTTTCGCACACTTCCATGGGAATCGAGGATTCCTGGTGTCTCTGTGTTTCTCCCTCCCCCCCAAAAACCACACGCAGGGCTCCCCCCAAGGCTCCAGCGCATGCCCGAGGCCCTCCTCGATCCTCGGGCTCCCCTCCTCGAGAGGGTGGCGACCGCTCCCCTCAAGCTGCTGCGCGCCCCCGAGCCGGCCGGCGCAGCCCCGCGGAGCAGCGCCAAGAGTGCCGGAGAGCCTCCTCCGGCGTCGATCTGCGGGAGGGGCCGGTGACCCCCGCAGCGTCGAGTCGGGCCTGTCCTCCTGCAGGGGGCTTTCAGACGAGAGGTTAAGGATACTCGACGGATACCCCCCAAAATGGCAGAACTATTCCCAAAAACATCGTCCACGGACTATTCTTTGGGGAACTATTTTTGGATATTCGCCCTGTACAGGGCCGCGCCCGACGTAACCGTAGTGGTGACCCTCCTGGCACTGCCCGAGAAGAAGACGATCTCCTCCTGGTTGCCAATGAGCCGGGGCAGCGCCCGCCTCTGCGGGAAGTAGGGGCGGAACAGGTCGCATAGCCGCGGGACCAGCTTGCAGCGGTCGCTCCAAGGGGATCCCTCCCTGGGCATCCACTGGAACAGGCTGGCCTTCCACCACTCGCCACTGCCAATGAGGCTGTCGAAGGCGACGGTGAAGTGCCCTCCGGTTTTCAGAACCTGCAGGTCCTCCCTGATGACGTCGATGTTGCGAGGCGGGGATGTGTCCACATCCGCCTTCTGTGGAACCGACGTACTTCGGACGGGCGGTGGATATGGATATAGTTTGGCCCCAGGGGGCCCGAAAATGTCCAAATCCAGCGCCTGCCGAGGTCCCCGAAGATCCATCCCCCAGGCGGTGGCTGCGTATCAATCCCCGCCTCGGAAATGTTCCTTTCCAGCAGGTCCATCATCTCTCCGACGCCCCTGTCGTCCCCCTTCTTCCAGACAGGGATGTCCTGAGGGGCAACGATACGGGGGGACTGGAATTGGGGGGGGCACATCGACTTGGAATCTGCCATACATCGCCGATACATCGGCGATAGGCACCCGATAAACAATCCGCACCTTCCTGGGCGGGGCGGGACTATCGAGCCCCTAGCGGCAATCATTGGGCGATTGGGGGTCGATGCATCCCCCCCCCCTATGCCTATATATCCCCCCCTATCGTTGCACCTGATGTCCCTGATGTCTTGAATCACCATCTTCGGCCGCATCATCACGTTGTGCCACCGCGGGAAGGCCTCGACTGCGCTCTCGTACGCGCGCCGCAGGTGGTCGGTCTCGCCGGCCCACTGGGACCCGTTTTTGATTCTGCTTGCGACATAACTGGAAGAAGAAACAAGAGTATAAACAGAAAATGTCGACAGTCCGCGCGGACCCAAGGAGGCCCCCAACCAGGCCCCAAGACGCTTCAAAACTGTCTCCAAAAGGCTCCGCCAGGCCACCAAACAGCCCCACAGACGCCCACAAGAGTCCCCAAATAGTGCCCAAGAAGCCTCTTGAATAAACATGAACTTTCGACGGCTCGCACAGATTTTTTGAATCTGCGCTGGACCCCCTTCCCTGGCGCGCGGAGCGCACCAGGAGCGGCGCCCGAGGCGCCGCCTGTGGACCCAGCGTAGATCCAGCGATTCCGCGCGGAGCGTCGAACATTATATTTGTGCAGTTTTTCCCCTTCGAATGACGCCGGTTACTGGCCTCGCCACCCTCTCCCCCTCCCGTCCCCCCCCCCCTGGTCACGCTACTAAGCATCGTTTATCCGATCACTCTCCCCAGCGGCGTGGCCTGGGCCCCGCTGGCCGACGTATCCCCCTAGATGGGGATATAGACCGTTCCCTTCCGGGTTTCGAGGGGTGTATCCCCAACTGGGGGGGTAATTTGGTGGGGGTCTCGAAGGGGATGAGAATGGGGATGGGGGTCGGTGAAGCGACACTGAGCTGCGAGTCGCGCCAGCGCCGTCTGGGAGCTGGCCAGGTCCTGGGCATGGCCAGGCGGCGCAGGCGCGAATGGTGACGTCTTACGTCCCAGGAGGTCACGCCCTGTCTCGCCCGGGAAATGGAAAAATGTCTCCTGGAAGAGGTTCAGAGCCTGCCCCACGTAGATGAACAGAGGGCGGCACCATCAGAAACTTCTGGAGGTCCGCGCGGACGTCTTGGATCTGAGCTGGATCCCCCTCCCTGGCGCGCGGAGCGCGTCGGGGGCGGCGACAGAGGCGCCGCCAGGGAGCACCAGCGCAGATCCAAGAAATCCGCGCGGACCGCCAAAAAATTATGACTACACGTCGGTCGGAAGAAATAGGTACAAACATGAAATAGGAAAACGGATAAAGTAGATGGGGCCCAGGCCCTCCCAGAGAGTAACAAAACACAGTCCAAAAATACCTGCTTTCCACGACCGGCGTGCACGTGTGCCGTG